TTAATGTGAGTTTGAACCCCAGTATTGCCATTGGCTAGCAGTTGTCCTTAGAAAAGAAATCCCCAACAATCACTAATTCTCAAGTTCCCCATTTCTACAATGAGGGAAGTAATAGTGTACACACCAAAGATTTGTCTGGAGAGAAGAAGTCAAATAAAGTGTGGAAAACTTGACTTTACAGTGGGTGTGGTAAAAACGGCTTTGGGGATCTCTATATACCCAGGATGACTTTGGGGCTTTCGGTATAACCCATGGTAACATGTGCATGGCCCTAGGTTTATTTGAACATCAACGAAGTGCACAGGGATACGCACACACATGCATACATGCACACACACACACACACACATGGAGGGTAGGGAAAACCATTTATTTTATATAATATATGCTAATCCAAACATATATATATATATATGCCAATCAATCAATGTCATTTATCTACCTAGTCCTATTTCTTCAGTAGTACCCAACCCATGACCCAGTTCACATTATCATTGACAACAGCAAGGTGATGAGAACCAGGAAAGAAAGAAGGGCATCATGTGGCTTAAGGTCAGGAGGGGGCCATTTGAGTAGAGCATTGGAGACTCCCCGGGAGGAGGAATACCTGTGGTGAGACCTAGAAGACCAAGAGAAGGGGGCAGGTGAGGTCTGTAGAGAAGGGTGTGACAACAAATCAGAGGGGCCAGGAGAGGTAGATGGCTTGCCTAAAGATAAGGGGGTCCTGGAGGAACACACGTTCAGCCTGGGAAACCAGGAGGCATGGATGGGAGGCAGGGCGGTGGTTTAATGTCGGAGGTAGCCATGGGAGTTTCCATGCACAGACTCTAGAAAAACCACTGAGATCCACTTTCTCTATGGAAGTGAGATTTTCATTCCCCGCCAGGCTCCCTTACAGACAATATGTGAGAGTCTTACGAAATATAGCAAAGGGAAGTGTTCAGATACAGAGTGTGTGGGGTTCAGGTAAGTGGTGGTTTTAGTGAGCAGGGAGACCAACCAAAGGCCATGCATTTGCAGCACAGCTCCTCTTGCACAAAATACAAATTTGCCATCATGTGTCACATGACTCTTTCAGAACCATCTGGACTTGGTTCTTCACTAGCCTTCAGAGAAGACGGTTCCACAATAGACATGCAGAGAGCTGCTCCTTGTCTGGCCTTGGTAGCCCTGGCAATACCTCCTACATGGATTTCTTTCAGCTTCCAGCCCCTGCAGATCAAAGGCCTGTCCAGGAGAACCCTTGGATCAGTATCAAGAAAGTGGGACCACAGCTGCCACCCTTTCCTCTCTCCATAGCATCAGAGATCTATCACTGGCTTAGCTGGGATGGGAGTATTTGGATATGCTTGAGGGCAGAAACGAATGGTGTTCTTAGTGCATAGAACTAGGAGGGCCCTGATCTAGAAGACCCTGCATCGGGCATGTTTCACTCCTCATCCCATCTCACCCTCTTAGTGCATCTGCCTTTGCTTTCGGGCATTGCTGCTCTGGCAGCAGCAACATGGTCACAGATATTGTTAGGAATTTTATTTTCGTTTTAATTTTTTTGAGACAGGGTCTCTCTGTGTAGCCCCGACTGTCCTGTACCTTGTTACATAGACCAGTCTGACCTCAAACTTTCAGAAATCCACCAGCCTCTGCCTCCCTAGTGTTAGGATTCAAGTTGTGTTAATAACCTTAAAGGAAGGATGATCAACGGCTGATCCTCCACCGTTTCCTGGGAGTCTTGCTGATTCAGGGTTTCCATAGACGCCAGAATACACCAAGTCCATCCTAGGGACTTTTGACCTATCTAAGGGTCCCCAACACCATTTGCTGCCCTGTCCCGTGCATTATTCCTGCTTTATATTAAAGCTCAGAAGGATGGGTTATAAATCCATTGCTTCTAATAGACTGAGGCAGGTGCTCAGGGGTGCAGACAGGCAGACCTCTTTAGACCTGTAACTTCTGTACTTTGATTTCTGCCACTGTTTATGCACGAATTAGGACAGAAAGGGGCTTTAATATGTCTACAGCCACTCCTCTTTCTAAGAGACCCTAGCACCCAGACCAGTGCTTTGGCTCAAAGGCAGTGGGCGCTATGGAGAAGTCAGAGCAAACGCTCTCTGCATGTGGGGAAGGTTTAAATTTAAACCACACAAAGCAGCATTACCTTCTATTTGCCTATTTAATGTATCTAAAATAGATATTTCATGTGAACAAATGGAAACCTTGCTAATAAACATAAACCGTACTCTAAAATCTCTCTTCTAACCCCAGTTACCTCTTACCTGCCCAGCGATAGACAGCATTAACTAGTTTTGGATGTAAACTTCTAAGTTTTCTGTGATTTTCAAACCGGTAAATTTGTTCACTTAGAAAAGGGAGCATTTCACAATCAATTCATTGAACATATAGAGAATGTTTCTATTGCTATATAAATATATTCTATGACAAAACACTTGAGATAATCAGCTTAGGCAGAGAAAAGTTGATTGGGACTGGCAGTTCTGAAGAGTCCCGCCGAGGGTCGGTGGGCTCTGTTGCTTTGGAGATGTGGATGGCAGTCTATCATGGCAGGGAGGTGTGGCTGAGAGAAACCACTCACCTCACCGCCAAGAAGCAGAAGAGATGGGGAAAGGCCTCAGGAGTCCACAGTCTCCTTTATGGTTGTATCTCCAATGACCTAAAGATGTCATATGAGAACCCAGCTATTTGAGGGTTCACCATCTCCCAATAGCCAGACATGTTGACCAAACCTTTGTCACATGAGTCAATGAAAGGAACAGGTCCAAACTACATCCAACTGTATCCACTATCCTGCAATTAGCCCATCTTCCCAGCTTCATATGCTAAAGAACCAATGTTGACCAGCGTGTGTACATTATATTGCATCCAACTGCTACATTTGATCCATTCATCTTTCTAGTGTTGATGGACAGTGCTTATTACCTGTTTTTTTGTCTGCATAAGCTAAGTTCCAACAAATGACTCCCACAGGCGTTTGTGCCTGCATATTTTTTTTATTAGAATACATATTGAGAATTGAATTCCTGGAGCATACAGCAAGGTTAGTCTTAATTTTAGAGCTATACTCAAGTTAATCAGCCTTCGACGTAATTTCAGTGGTGGCACACCTACCGGTCAGCTCTCTACAGGATCATGTTCCTTACATCTTGACCTCGGTGGGGTTTCAGACCCCATTTTCCTTATTTGTACCCCCATCCAGTTGTTTCTGGTCTTGGCATCTGTACCAATAGCACCAAAAGTACATGATGGAGCTGCTGGATACACAAAAGCAATCGATTGGAAAAGTAGTTTGGTATCCAGTCCACAGACTCTCCAGAGGAGGTTTTGCCTCATGTCTGTTTCTTGATGTAGTGAGATCACTCAGAACCCAACAGCTGTTAACTGCATCTGAGAAAGGGCTCTGTACATAGATATAGACAGCCAGGTGATGACACAGACACATTCATCTGTCTATCTATCTACTATCTGTCTGTCTGTCTATCTATCTATCTATCTATCATCTATCATCTATCCAATTATCTATCATCTCTATCTATTATCTATGTATCTATCTATCTTCTATCTAATTATCTATCACTCTATCTATTATCTATCTATCTATCTACCTACCTATCTACCTATCTTTCTATATGTCATTATCTTCCTATCTATACAATATTTGTCACTGCTTTGAGATAGATTTTTGTGATATAGTTTAGGTTGGTCCAATTCACAATATCCTTCTGCCTGCTGTCCTGAGTGCAGGGATGACTGGTGTGTCCCACCATACTGACTTAAAAGTATTTGTCTAAAAACATAGGACAATCTTGTATAACATGAAGAACTCCATCCTTTGAACAGCTACTTACATAGTACTTTTAAAATTTTTTCTTTGAGTCTTTAAAGATGATAACTGTTTTTTGTTTGTTTGTTTGTTTGGTTTTTTTTTTTTTTTTTTTTGAGACAGGCTTTCTCTGTAGCTTTGGAGCCTGTCTTAGAACTAGCTCTTGTAGACCAGGCTGGCTTCGAACTCACAGAGATCTGCCTGCCTCTGTATCCCAAGTGCTGGGGTTAAAGGTGTGTGCTACCACTGCCTAGCTGTTTTGCTTTTTTTTTTTTTTTTTAATGTAAAAGGCAAGCAAATGAAATTGCAACCAGCTTGGATAAAGTGGACAGCGGGTGCTGATTTTCACAACCCACTAAAGGATGGCCCAGCACCCCAGGTGATTACCTGAATCCTGCAGCTTAAGCTCTGTAGAGGCCGCTGACGATCCAGCTCAATAGGCAGGCGCACCAAAGGCCTGCTCTAGGAAACTCTCACCTCTGACTTCTGGGGTACATTTTCCTGTTAACTTTTAGCATATGCAGCCTGTAGGCATGCTTCACAAAAAAATCCACAGTATTCGGAGGAACCGATGATCAGCCAGGGAAACGTGCAAAGATTTGAGAACCCTTGCAGGTTTCACTTTGCACGCTGTCAGGGGGTGACGGTTCTAAAGGGCCTTTTCTCACCACTTGGCTGCAAAGGAACCTTCAGTGTCGTGATTCTGACACAGTTACACATTTAATGAACATAGCACCCTACGGAGTTTCTTTCAATCTGATAACTGCTTGCCTGGTGTTCAGAGACATGCTACAACCAGAGGTTCAGACGCTAATTTCTGTTGTTTTAACTATAGAAAGAATATTTCAAATCTGCTCTACTTTAGTTCAACTCATACCGGGATCCATATTGGCGGGAGTAACCTAGATCAATACCGAAAATAAATAAAAGTTAATCCAAATAATCCACTTTGACCTCTGCCATGATTTCTCATATTTTCCCCTTTAAACAGTTGATCTTGATTAATTTTGTTACGTTTTCTCTCTTACATCAGGATCTGTAAGGAGAAAGGCCCAATTTTGGCCTCTTTTCCTGCCACCCAGGCTTCTAATGCAGGGTTAGAGTCTCACGGGCACTAAAGAAATGAGAAACCTTCATTTCACCAATCCAAATAAAATACTCCATAGAAAATAATCATAGCCCTTTAATTTGTCCTTCAAAGTATCCGTGAACGTTTACAAGAAACTCTGGATTATTTCCCATGTCTAATGGTGCCCCCAAGAATACTCCAAGTTCAGGATTATGATGGGTGACTTGTAAGGCCGAGAGGGTGAGAGGTGTTCTGCTGCAGACTCCCATCCTCAGGGAGCCAGGCCTGTGCTCGTCACCAACCAGGCTCCATGCAGCAGAAAGCGGCAACAATCCCCAGTCAAGTCAAAGAATAGGAATATTGCTTATAGTCAATAGCCTAAGTAATGAAGGAGGCTGGCTTTCGGGTCACCATGAGGGGCCTGGGTTATTCTCATTTTTTTCTCTGCTTTCCTCGGAGTAAGGACTCCGCCGTCCAGGGATTCCCTTGCTTCCACAAAAGCACCTGGACCTCACAGACCCTCATATCAGGGCCCTGATGTGGAGACACCAACTATTTCTTCTTGTCTGTTTCATTTTAAGAGTAAGGAAATGTTTCCCAGGAACTTTCCTCAGATTTCCCTTCTGGTCTCATTGGCCAGAAGAATTTCCATATTCAAATTTAAACGGACTGCTCTCTTTGGTCAGATAACGGGCTGGAAGTGAGGATTAGGGTAGAAACATCTCCGAGATTCTGCAACAAAGAACAAAGGACAGGAAGAAGGCAAATGCCTGTTACCTGCTATATTAAATACAGGTAAAATAAGAAAAGCCAAGGTAATATTTCCCAGACAAGGACCTCATGTGTATAGATTAGAAGCAGCAGAATACAGCACAGTGGGCAGGGCCCTAAGGGCCGTGGTAGGTATTTGTTCTCACTCCTGTTAAGTTTCTCTAATAAAATTCAAAACTAGGCTAGTCTCCACTTTCAAAGCTAGGGATGTGGGACGTAACTAATGCAAGATAGGCTGAACAAGAGACATGCAGAAATTTCTCTCAGGATTATGGCTTCCAAAAAACAATTGCTCAGCTCCTAGGCCAAGTAGGATCTAGGGCCATGATTGGGTGAGGAGGTTCCTCACAACCTTGACCAGGAGCCACAGATCTAAAGCCAGACAGTCTCTGTTGACAGAGCATGGGGACTGTCTGTTACTGGTACATGCCCCAGCGAATACCAAAAAGACACATGAACGCCTCAAGTTTTCATAGAAATGGCACATGTCCAAGACATATAATCAGATGGCCATTTTTCTAGAAATTCATCTTATTACTAAATTTAACAAAAGCATTTATGCTTCAGGGATTGAGAGACAAACCCAGATTATCTGAGAAGCCTTGGCCTCAGCCAACTGTGTGAGACCTGAACCGGAGTCTAGAGACCCGACCTGGAGTCTAAGGCACCCAGGGAAAGAGAAATACAAACAGAAAAAAATAAAAGCAGGTAAAACAAATTTTCTATTAGATAATACAGGACTAAAATTCCTAAGAATTTACAAGAATTAAGAAAAAGAGGTAAAATGAGAAGTTCAATGGTCTTATATGTGCATGTATTTATTTAGTTATAGACATTTAATTTTTTTAATTTTTAAATGCTTTTAGTTGAAATAGAATTATATCACTCTCCCCTCTCTTTCCTCCTACCAACTCCTCCCAGCTACATACCTTTGAGCCCTTCCCCTTCTCCTCAAGTTGATGGCCTCTCTCTTTGATTATCATTATTACATAGGTGTGTGTGAATATGCACAAATATATATCAACACAACTGGATAGGTCCATTTTGGCTTTTGTGTATATATGATTTCAGGACTGACCACCCTGCACTGGGCAGCCGACAAAGGGCCTCATCCCTCAGAGAAGCTAATTTTTATTTCGGCAGTCACTAGTTGCCTATAGGTCTCTGTCTAGTGGTGGGACCACGTGAAACGCCCCCCTTCCTCTGCTGATGTTGACAGATAAGCTTCAAACCAGGATCTTAAAACTCCTGTTGGTGGAAGAGAAGGGAAATAATTCTAGCCCTTTCTGTCTGAAATAAGGATCTACAGCTGGGGACTGAAAGTTGCCTTAGAAAGTGTTTGCTGCCCCTCGCCCTGCTCTCCTAGTGAGAACCAGGTACTTCCGCAGCCCAGAACAATACAGGGAAGAGCTTGTGTGATGAACACTTATGAGACAGGCTTTGGATGGACACATGGACCCCAGGCAAAGCACTCCCACCTGCCAGGATGCAGGCAGGAGTCTTTCTGTCAGCTCCTGGTTTCGTTCTCTTTGAGACTACATCCTTGTAGCTAAGGGTGGTGGTGTCTCTGAATCGCTGGGTCTGAGTTTAGACACTGACTCTTGACATAGTAGTAGCCTATGAATCCAGCACATGCTACTGAACTTCCTGGAACCCCAGTCTCCCCAGTCTCTAGGAGAATAGCATTGGTTCTTCCTCAAGATGCCTGCGCAGTTTTTGCTCGAGAGAGAAGCATCGGGTATGGAGGCAGGAATGGATAGGGAGGAGATCAAGACCAAACTGCACATGTGCTTACCAGAATTTGCGAGCCCAAGGCTAAAAGACTTTAGACCTTCAAGCATCCTTCCATCGCCTGGGAGTGACGCTCCCTAAGCACCAGGCCTTCATCTTGGGCACAGCAAATATCTGTCAGGCTGGTGTCCGACTATGAATTAGCCAGCACTGCCTCGCCTGGTGACTGGGACTCTTGCAACACAGTAATCCTTGACGTGTGTGCTAGAGTTGGAATCGTGTTCAGTCTGTGACCCAGAGGACTAAGGTCACTTTCTGTCCCAGCTTCCCAAGTCTTGTGATAAAACATCCTAACTAAAACAACTTAGGGGGCAACAGGTTCATTTCAGTTCGGATATCCAAGTGACAACCCATTAGTGTGGAAAAGTCTAGGCAACAGGAACTTGAAGCAGCTGATCACGTCACATAGCATCCACAACCAAGAGCAGCAGACAATGAATTCGTACATGTATGCTGTCCTGGTTAGTTTCCTGTCAACTTGACACTGGCTAAAGTCATCTGAGAAACTGAGAGAATGCCTCCCTGAGATCAGGCTGTAGGCAGGCAACCCTGAAGGGCATTTTCTTATTTAGTGATCGATGGGGGAGGGCCCAGGCCACTGTGGGTGCAGACACCCCTGGATTGGTGGTCCTGGATTCTAAAAGAAAGTAGGTTGGGCAAGCTATGAGGCACAAGCCAGTAAGCAGCACTCTTCCATGGCCTGTATATCAGTTCCTGCGTCCATGTTCTTGTCGTGGCTTCCCTCAGCAGACTGTGACCCAGGGTGTATAAGTCAAGGAAACCCTTTCATCCCTCAGTTGCTTTAGGCCACAGTGTTTCCTCACAGCAGTAGTGAGTCTAAAACAGCGTTCTGCTTACCTCAATCTCTCCTTTTCATTCAGCCCAGGGCCCAGCACGTGAAAATGGTACAATCCACATTCAGGGCAGACCTTGATGGTCCCCACCTCAAAGTCCCTCCCAGCCACAAGCTGACCTTCCCAGATGATTCTAAAATGTGTAACTGTACTTCATGTCCCAGACCCTCAGTTTCCTCATCTCCACTGGCAGAGGGCTGTATAGGGTCGAACATGAGAAAAGTCCGCCACAGGACGTTTCTCTGTTCTATCTGGTCATTGAGCTCTTGGGCTTTGCCTCGCACCATGGGTCAGAGAATCCAGCATCACTGTCCTCCTCTCATTCTTTCTTGCTCTGAGGCCACAGGTAGTGATTTGAAGAAGATGGCTGCTACACGGAAGAGATAGGCATGTACGCAACCATTTTCCATGTTTGCCTGGACAACCGCATCAGCCTTGCTGCCGGATTTTGCTGGCTATTGCTAGAGATGATGGGTCTCTCTGGAGAGTGGTGACCTCCACAGAGTTTCTCGAAGCTTTGCTGACCCTTTGTGTCATCGGCTGTCCTTCCTCCTGACTTCACTGGAAATAAGATTACCGCACAGCTCAACAGTTAAATTTCCATCTACTCACCTAGCAAGGAACTACATGCAAGAGGTATCCTTTATTACTGAGGCATTTGTTGGCGAATGCTAGCACGAATGGTATAAAGCTCCTTTTCCTGCTTCTCTTGTTGACACTCAAGGCACCATCTTCAAAAGCTTGTGTGCTTTTCTGTGGTAGAGACTCAAGAGGGGTCCAATTTTGCCATCAATCATATTTAATAACCTATGTCATTAGTGTAATTTTGTTATTGAAGATCCCTAAATCTATTCAGTGGCTTGCACAAGACAATTAAGGTTTTTCAAAAATACATGTATGTAATCAGATCTCACCTTTAATTAAAGCCATCCCAATTAATGTGGTCCTTCTGACTATAATATACAATTTTTACTAAATAATACTTGGCTTTGCATTTCCTTCATTTAAAGGAAAATGGCATTAGAATTAAATGAAAATTTGTAATTCATGGGTCTTCTAAACTATTGCCTGCTGGGTGACGGAGGTAAAAAGTTGGGGGAAAGAAAACATCAGATGCATCTAGCATTTTGAACGGTGTACCTTTGCTCAAATCCACCCTCAGCTCTGCATTAACAAAGACTCACATTTTAAAATCCACTTACTGCCTAAAGACAAGCTGTCTGAGTCCAGATTTTTGACCTGATTGATTGACATTCAGGCCTTTGGGCTTCCCATGGCTGTCCTTAAAAAGTATGGGCAGGAGCCTGGAACTATGTAGATTGTTTGTAACAAGTTTTCATCATGGGATCCATATCTCTTTTGTGGAGTTGTTGCTTTTAGTTTAAAAAAAATAAATACAATCAGGCGTGGTGGTGTGTGCCTGGAACCCCAACAATTGGGAGGTACCGTCAGGAAGATCAGAAAGTCAAGATCTTTCTCCTCAGCTCCTTAGGGAATTTGAGGCTAGCCTGGACTAAAGCAAACCCTGACTCAAAAACATAACAAAGAAAACATAGCATGAGTCCTAAGCTAAAAATGCTTCCTCACAGAAAATCTGAAGGAACTAGAAATACCTCAAGTTTAAATTCAGTCTCAAGTTTACCCAGTTCTTGCCAAAATAAGACAATTAAATTTTTAAGTAATAAAAAATTAAGACAAAAATATATACAATAGACTGGATAAACAGTATTTCTCCTATTCAGCTACAGTGTTATTTTGTGCTTTGATTTTGCTAAAAGGAAGCAGCATTTTTCCTGTTTTGGGAAAAGTAGTGCTCTTCCTTCTTGTTCTTTAAGTATTTGTTTGCTGGCTACTTGGTTACTTGCCGTGGGGGGGTGAGGGGGCTTCAGCCAGCCCTACAGCCTTGTGGCTGCAAACACACCACTGGGGTAGGGTCCCGAAAGGAGCTACAGAGGTGCATAACGACTCCTCCAACAATTTAGAATGTTTGAAGTTAATTATCCTCTTCTGATGACTGGTTGTCTAGACATTTTAAGTATTTATTTTGTGGTGTCCCCTACAGTTCATAATTAAAGAGCTACGGACGGCTCCCGGAGGTTTTTTACTGGCCAGACCAGAAATTACCCACACAACATACTGTGCATTGGCAAAACACAGGAAGAAGTTGAATTCCTCCTTTTTTTTTTCATGCAGTTGGATGGAAGGCAGCGGCTAGAGTATTGACCATCTTTGAACCGCAAAAGGCATTAATGAACCCAGCCGACATCCATAAGCCTTGGACGAGCATCCCAGCCTGGGGCTCAGTTTGTCAATGGTTACTAAGAGACAGGAAGGAAGATGGGCAAACCCGGAGAACCATGCCCTCACTAGGTTTAAGTTCCCTAGAGTCACCCATGCATCCTAGTGAAGGGCATGGTACAAGACAATGATATAATACAGGCATGGCAGAGCTGCCCATTCCTGCTGCCATTCGTTCATTCATTGACCCTTCGGATCAGAGCCGGAGGTTGGCTCTGCTGCTAAGATGTGTCACTCCAGGTAAGTTGTTCACCCTTGGTGATACCCATCTGCCTCTTTGTTAAAGGAGAATGATAATACTGACTTTAGCATGGTCGTTAGGTAACTTCCATTGACCATGGTGCCTGGCACACGGTCCAGGCTTTAGCTCAAGAATTTTGATGCTTGTAAGGATTTGATGGTGATGTCACCAGTGCCAAGGTGTTGCAAAAATGTATGCAGTTCTTTCCACTCGTAGTTCTGAAGCCCGAGCTCTTCAGGACATGCTGTGGAAGTCTGCAGTGTGCTGTGCTAGGCTATGCCTTGTCTCTCGTCTGCAAGTCCCGGATGCAGTCTGACAGTGCAGAAGGATAAAGAAACAGAGACCTAACATTTCAGTTCAGGACTAGGTCCGCAGGTTCTCAAAGCCCTCAGCTGAGTTAGAATTCAGGAGACGGTTGTGCCATCCAGATACCGTACTCTCTGGGACATGACATCTAGCTGGGGTTGTGTCTGCTTTCCTGGGGAACTTGAACTTACAGACACACACACACTAATTCAGAAGTAAGTGGCCAACTGTCTGAATTCCAAAGTGGTTGTGAAATTACAGTTTTGCCATTTTTGTTGTTGTTAATTCGGTTGTTCTAAAGTTCTGTGTCATTCTGACTCCTGTCTGGGGCTATTCTGGCCTCATTTCTGGGGAGTCAGGGGTTCCCCAGCTTTAGTGCCACATATAACATCCTAGAGGCCTGTCTATTCCATGATTTCTATGGAGCCCAGAGGACTCCCAATGATAACTGTGAACCTAATCTTCAATCTCCACTCACTCTTAAAGCCAACACCTGCTTTCCAGGCCCTGCTGGCATTTGCCTGGAAAACGAAGCCATGTGGAGAAGTTTCTGAAAGAGCGGAAAGTGACCATAATACTCTGAACCATGTTTGTCATCCCACAGGATCACTGTGGGGCACAGCTGACCATGCAGACGTGTGGAAGAGCATCAGTGAGAAAGACCTGGCTTTAAGAGGAGAGTGGGCCCAAGAAGAATTGTACTTGGCCCCTGTGACAGTCTGTAGACAGAAAGTGTCGATGGACAAAAAGACAATGAAATGACGAGAGAGCGGAGGAGAGATTCTGTTTCCTTTCCAAACCAAAGTGACTCAGCAGATGAACTTTGTAACTGATGAACTTTGTCAGAATTCCTGGAGAACCCACAGGCTTATAAAGATGGGTAATGGATGCCTCTCTATGGGAGACACTGCCGAAGGCGTGAGTCAGAAAGGGGAGGAAGGGAAGAAAGAAAGAGGGGAGAGTGAGTGAGAGAAGGAAAGGGAAAGGAAAGAAGTGGAGGAGAAGAAAAGGAGCAGAGGAGAGAATGCCGATGTCCAATGGTGTAAGCTACTAGCTTCTAGGCTTGTCTAAGCCTATTTACATTTCTGGACTTTCCTGGAGCAAAACGTTTACTGTTTACGTTGAAGCATTTGTTTTGTTTTCTTTTACTTTCAAGACAGGGTCTTACCATGTAGCCCTGTCTAGTCTGAAACTCTCTATGTAGACTACACTGGCCTCACACTCACAGATAGCTCCCTACCTCTGTTTCCCAAGTGTTGTAATTAAAGGCATAGACCACCATTCAGGACTTTATCCAAAAGGTTCTTGATCATTTACAAACAATAGGGTTGATTAACACATACAATGAAGGGGTGGTGGTGGACATTAATCTTGATTTGATTTTGAAAACACAGCAGCCAATGAATGGAAGCAAAGGCAGGTAAATGTTTTG